TTGTACACATATAGCTAATTTGCATTGTCTTGATTACGTCGATCATTGGTTCGTCTCATCCATCATCTTCTTGCATACTATTTATATTATATGTAACTCTTTTTTATTTATTTTTTTATTTTTTTCCTTCTATTTTAAGGTTAACAGAATATTTTTTCTAATTGAAAGCAATAAAATAATTTCATCCCTCTGCTGCACTTACACTTGTGAATGATCAATCATAATTAAATTTAATTAATAATATATTTATAAAGAAGCTCAATAACCTATTGGAAGTCTTAAGACGAAATAGTCATTAAAAAGAATGATAAGTCAAAGCAAACTTAAAAAAAAAAAAAATAAGTTAGGCTTAATAAAAAGTCTATGACAAATAATAGGTAGGTCAGACTTAAACATCAAAATTATTAAATAGGTCAAGCTTATTTATGCAAAGTGTTGCCTATTTCTATCCTTACTAATGGGTCACATGACTTGTTGCAACAATTTTTAGCCCATTTGCCTATCTTTACATGTGATTTTTGCGCCTCTTTGAGGGGATTTTGGACAATTTTTCTTCTTGCTTTTTAAACTCCCTCTTTGCACGTCCAACAACCTCTATATATGGCCTATCTAACATAAAATTTCATATTTTCTTTCATTCATTTACTTGTCCAAAATGAGCCTTCATTCTAGGTACTTCTAGAAATATTTTGGTCATTTTGGTCAAATTTTATTATTTTATTTATTTTATATTTTTTGCTCTTCCAAGACCTTAAATAATTCTTATAAAACTATTTTAGATAGTCTAAGATTGTCAACAAATTTTTTTGGATATTTATTCCCTTTTGTATTACCTAATTCTCTACCAATTAGTCCTGTTTTGGTTAATTTCGTTGGTTTATTTTAAATTTTAAGTTCGTGTGTACTACTCATTTATAAACCATTAAGATTAATGTAATCTAATAATCATTTTTGAAGTGATAAAAATTTAGGGTGTTATATTGATTTCTAACAAAAAAATTTATAAAGACTTATCACAAAATATCTAATATTTATAGAGATCAAAAAACATAATTAAGTATTTTTATTTTTAAAAAAAGTCTCCCAAAAATAGGATACAATCCTTCTATAATTTTGGTTTGAGCTGCAGAACCTACCTCATAGATAATGGTTTATTCTTGAGTCGTATCCAGAAGGCATTATATCGCCATAGGACTACCTCTAACAAGGTAGTCTTATGGCGATATAATGCCCTTTTGACTCTTCTTCCTCCGCCTCCATCCAATTTTTCTCTCCCTTTTCTTTCTCTCCCTCTTCTAAGCAAAATCTTTTATTTTGTTTTAAAAAAATACATTATAGCTTGCAATTCACATTAAAACTACAAAGAATTCTATCCGCAATGCCATGAAATTGGTTATATAGATTGCGCTAATATGTTTTTTTAATTAGGACTTGCAACTAAAACCAGTCCAGCCTGGTTGGTTGAACTCGGTCCATCACTTCAAGAATGGGTAATGGCTACAAAACCCAACATTCGAGTGGGGGCATCATGCACGTCCTCTTCTCTTGGCAATGAGAACACAAAGAGGTCATTTAGTGAGTGTTTTTGCATGGTCAAAAGTGAGGTAAAGTGAGATTAAATTTAAATATTAATGACTAACATTAATTTTTTTTAAACGAATAGTCTCACGATTTTTTGGCAAGACTTAATTTTTTTAAAATAAATATCATTATTATACATGTGAGACTTATTTTTTTAAAGGTGTATGTTGTAGTACCCTAAAAAAAAATTTATGAGTATCGTACTCAAAAGTTTATACCAATAAAAAAAAAAGACACGACAACTTATGAAAAACATATTATTATAAATGATTTATTTAAAATTGTGTTATTTATATTATTTGCTATTTAGTCCTAGTGTGTATTCAAAATTTAAAATTTTTAATATAAGTCCAACTTGTACAACTCTTTTCTCATTGTCTTTTTGCTTGGTCGCTGCTCTGCTGTGTAAGCTCGCCTCGTCGCTGGTTTTGAAACAGGATTAGGCTTGTATGTGACAGAAGATATGTCCTTTCTAGCACGAGGAACCTTATAACACTTGGAAAAAAGCAGCTATGGATCTGGCATCAACAGCAAATCCTATTTGATTAGAGCACCGATTCCGACATCAGGAGTGAATTCAATAGGAGTTACAGTGGAGTCGAGAACTAGCAACTACTGTTGAAAGATAGGATTGTTAACTTGACTACCTCTTTTTTCCTCGCCCTAACGAATTTGAACTCTAAGGAAAACTTCCTTTCTAACTCTACTATGTAAGATCGCCTCGTAGCTGCTTTGCGTGACACTAACAAAAGCTTGGGATTTCTGACAATTATGGAAGAATGAATGCAGAGCAATGAGAAATGACAGGGTGGGTAGGAAACAGACTGAATTCACTAGCAAACATGAGCCTAAAGATGAAGCATAGTTGGAACCAACTTCAGTGACAGAAAACGACATGAGGCAAAAAGTTGAAATACAGAACAAAGCAAGAAGATGAAGTAGCTATTAAAACATAAACTTAAATTTTATTTTTTAATTAACAATAATTATTGAGATAATAATTAATTGATAAATAAAATAAAATAAAAAATATAATAATTTATTATTAAATAAATTTATTACTTGAATACTTTTTTAATATTATTGATTAAAATTTTTTAGATACGATATGCTGAAAATTTTTAAGAGTACAACAAAATTTACCTTTTTTAAAATAAGTATAGTAAATGCATATGAAAAATTTGAAAAATCTTGACACGGGTTAAAATTTTATAAGGTTAACATTTTTAATGACAAAATTTATTATTTAAATAAAAAAATTAAAGTATTTCAAACAAACTTATGACGTGTGACAAAATAAAGTCAGAAAAATTTGTTTTGAAATTTTTATATTTTAGTAATTTATTTTTAAATTAATAAATAAATAAAAAGCCGGATTTTGAGGTGAAATACGAGAATACGGAGAGATATATAAAATAAAGGTTCTTGGATCTGGGATGGGGAATTTCAGGCACGGGAGCATAATGCGAAATGGTGCTACGGCGGAGAAGGTGGCTTTGGGTTCGAACTTCGAATGTTGGTAATGAGACGGTGAAGAGAGGGGTGAAAAGTGTGGATTAGGAAGAGCTGAAGATAGATAAAATTGAATATTACGAAATGGGTCACGTTGCTAATGCAGAGCCTTATAACCGTGCAATTGTAACGTCTCAGGCGAGTTGTGTGTACCGGAGTAACCAAGCCGCGTTGCTTGACAAGATTAGAAAGGTTGGTTGCGGCTGCGAGGTTGGATCCTAATTACGGAAGAGCTCATCAGCGTTTGGCTTCTCTTTTTCTTAGCTAAGGAAGTCATCATAGTGTTTTTGACTTGAGACATTTTAGAGGAAATGAGTTGCAAAAAAATTGCTAGTCATGAACTAAAAAAGAATGCAAGTACAACAACAAGAAGTATGTTACAATTCCTTTGACTATGTTGTTAAAGCTTATTAATTGTATGTTACAATTATTTGACTATATTGTTAAAGCATACCATGTTATAAACAATTTTATTAATTGATGATGATTATTTATAATAATAATTTATCATATATGAAAAGTAATTATGACAATGATAAAGATAAAATTTTGTAAAAATGACATCAATATCAAGAATAATTTTGATTCAATTAGAAAGAATGAATCTAATTGTTTTTGGTGCTTTGATTTTATCATAAAATTTTGTTGATGAACATATATGAAACTTTATATACATAAATATGATGCGTTAAGTTAATAGCAAAACAAAAATTGTTGTGTGTTATTAAGAGCAAAGTGCTCTAAGAAACTCATCTTTACGCTACCAATACATTAATTGAGATCATTTTAATCAAGAAATAAATTTAGAGTTAGATCTATCTTGTGTTGAAAAGTTAGAGATTAATTATATATTCAATTAGAATTTGAAATAAGAGATGTTGTTTAAATGAGGGGAATAATTTTGAACATGAAGTGTTTAAATCATGTAAAAGGTTGTAGTGACAAGTGAGGACACTTTTAGTGTATTATATTATATTTTTAAAAACAAAAAATTATTTTTAAAATAGAAATCAAAATGCTCTTTATGGGTTGGTTGACATAACTGTGTCAATGTTTTTTTGTCAGGAGACAAAATTATAACAAATTAGATTTATATCTTATTTATTCATGCATATTATGTATGTTTAAAGTAAAGTTTGTTGATTGATTATTTGTGATACACTATATATACATATATTGTCAATTAATTATCATTAACAGTGATTAATTTATATATTATATTAAGGGATGATAAATCAAGAACCTTTAATGTTCATTTCATTAATACAAGAGAGATTTGTTAGTTGGTTTAGTTACAAAGTCTTATACAAGAAAACACGAAAGGCCAAACCAAAAACAATTGTTGACATGTTTGATGATTGGATGAGTTATATGAATGTTATGAAGATCAAGATGACTCCAACATATGTAATACTTTTGAGTTTGATTCAATATATAAACTTAAGACAACTGATTATGTTTTTCAATGAAGTTCATCATTAATTTTAAATAGTTTTTTGAGTATTTTGAACATTCATTTATGGTTGTTGAAGGAGAGACATTGTTGACTAGTTATTTTTTTTAATACAAGAAAATGTTACTACAAAAGTTAAAATTTGCATTGTTCACAGACAGAAACCAATCATAAAATAAGTTCAAGGGTTGAATTGATTATGTGGTAATTTATAACCTTTCATCTTTGTTGGCCTAAAATAAGTTAAATTGGCCTAAAGTATGGACTGACTGAGTGGTTGAATTTAAATCTGAAAGAGAGCCTTAATTGCATGATCTGAGAATTGCAATAGACAACAGAAAGCAGAGGGAAAAAGTTTAATCAAGGGAACATGGTTTGCACCGTAAACGAGATCCAAATTGAAAACCTATATATTAACATACGATCCAAATACGCTGCAGCTACTCTCTTGTATAGGGAAAACAAAAGTATGTATGAACATCTAACAGTAATTAATGAGAAGGATTCCTCTCTAAACCTGAGAGATTGTAGAAATAGGATTGGATAGGTTTCCACGTTCTAAGGATGTGGATCGTCGTCATCGGAGGGTGGAGAAGGATCAAGACGTGCAGCATCCTTAGCCCAGTCCATCAATTTCTGAACCTGAGACTCTTCGTCTTCGCTTTCTTCATCATAATCATATAAGGCGTTGGAATCGGATGCGGCAACGGTGCGGCCTACAGAAGAGGATTTGGCTTTGAGAGCAGAGAATCGAGCGGAGAGATTATCTCCGAGTTCCCGATCTTGTGATTGAGAAAGAGAAGAGTTGGATTTCATTTTAAGGGCTTGGAAACGACGCTCCAGCTCCAGATCGAGATCGAGATCGAGATCCAAATCACCCTCGTTGTTCTTTTCAGCAGCAGAAGGAGAAGCGCGGGCTATGTGAGAATTGAGGGAGAGATTCAAGAGGATTTGATCTTGCGCAGCTTGCAACATCTGTTCCACTTCATCTTCTACCTTCTTCTCCTTCTCCGTCTCCGTCTTCCTCTTGCTTCCTCCCTTCATTCTATTCTCCTCCTCTCACACACCCCCTCTCCTCTGTCCATTGCTACACCTGCCAGAGGATTAGAATATAATAATATATAAAATATTTATTTTTAATTTAATTTTATAGAATTTATGTTTTTTTTAGACGACTGATATTCTTCATTGGATGAGTTTAATAATATCTTTATTCTTTATAGACAGCAAAATTATCTTTATGAGTATAGAATTTATATTATTTATTTAAAATTTAATTTAATTTAATAATACTTTCTTATATTATTTCTTCATTTCGCATAGCTCCAGTGTTCCATTGTAAATCAACGGCAGAGGGTGCAGTTTTCATCTTAACCGTCCAAATATTTTAAATATATTATTTAATAAATTTCAATATTATATTAATACACTTTTAAAGGATAAGCTACTCTGGAACGAAATGTAAAGAAATGTGTTGCTAGACTTCTGGTAGCCACGTACTCTGAAAGAAAAGTGCTCCAAATTAAATGATTACTGTAAAACCATAGATAGGTTGAATAACATTGAACGGTGGGTACTAAACCTCATTAAAATTTTTCACATAAATGGATTAATATATATTATATTCACTTGCTGGCTAGTGTCTAGTGCGAGATACGTATATTTTATTTTAATATATATATATATATATATATATAGTAATAATAAATTTATTTAGAAAATTAAATTTTTATTATAATCATTTTAAATTAATTCTAGAATCACAAATAGTATATATCAAAATGATAAATATTTAATAAATTATAATTATTAAAAAAATTATCTTAAGATAATAAAGTAACATATTAAGTATTATGAATATGCTATTTATAAAAAGTAATAAAAAAAGTTAAATAAAAATTTTAACTCTAAAATTTAAAATAATATTAACTAAATGTTTTACTTCTCACACGTAACATACTCTCATTTATAATATAGAAATTAATTATAATTCTATCTTTTAAAAATTAAAATGCATGACAATAAAATTTGTTTTAAATCTTTTAATAAATTTTACACTTCCTCAATTTTTTAAGAAACTATATAAGCTCATTATTATAAAAGTTTAAAAGCATGCCTCAGTATCAATAATAAAAATGAAACTATAAAATTTCTCATCTATAATGAAAACATGCATTTATTAATAACATGTGACTTTAACACATTCAATGAAAAGGGTAAATAATGAAAAGATTTTGGAAGTCTAGAAATATAAGTGAAAAGTAAACTGAGTAAGGAATAAATTAGTAAATTAAACTTACACATTAACATATCTCTCATTTTGTTTTTGTTTAGCCAAATGGGAAGCAATCCTGTTTGAATTGGGTAGAATTTCTATAGATGGCAAAACTCTTCTACTATTTTAAATACTTAAAAAAAAAAAAAGTTTTGCTGCTAATAATAGTTCTACTTGATTCGAATATAATTTGTCTTTAATGAAAAAAAGATATTTATAGTCTAGAAAAAAAATCATTAAAAAATATTTTAATCTTATAAAGTAAAATAGACTAAATTGCACATTTTATAATAACAAAAAAAGATATCATAATATTTGTATCTCATAAAAGAAGAGAAATGAGGAGGATATTTTTTTAATATTTTTAATTAATATTTATTAATTTAATAATTTATTTCAAAATAAAAGTCATAATATATAAGTATAAATATGATGTATTAATATTTTATTTATTTTTATAAATATGATATAATTTTTGAAATTTAAAAACACTTTTGTTTTGTTTTCTCCACCCATCTCTCTAGAATTCTAAAAAATTTGACAATAATAAAAAATAATTAAGATATGAATCAAGTATGACAAAAATGATGAATGATAATTATAAAAAGTTAAGTATAATATAAGATGTTTTAAAATCTCTCTAAATACATGTCAGTTAAAATTCTTTATACTTCAAATAAAATTTCTCTAACCAAAATTCTAAAGTATTTTAATTTTTTTTAGTCAACACATTTAATCTAGTAATTAGATAAGATAAAAGCAATCTTCCACGTCATAGAAACCTTTTAGAATATCAACAATATCTTCAAGTATATACTTCTAAGCACGATAAAAATCAGGTGAAATTTTATGATGTTAGAATAAATAAGGTCTTTTTAATTTTAGTTTAAAAAATGACAATTATTTATGCATGTTAATTTTTGTTGAATAAAATTCTTAAGATAAATAAATAAAATAAAAACAAAATTAACATAAAATTCTTAAAAAATAGGAGAAAAATCATTATCAATGTCTTAGTACAATAAAAAATAGTATTATATAAATTTTTACAAATATAAATTTTGCTCATAATTATCCCATGACTTTTGTACAAGTACAAATTCCAAGGTAAATATTTAAATTTTCTTGCAATACTCTAAAACAAGAGTATAAAATATATAAGAAAGTTAAATATAATTTTAAAGTGTTTTTTTTTATTGATGTCACCCCACCCCACACTAAAATTCAAGAATATAATTTTTCTCTTAATCAGTCAATCTAATTAGTCTTTAAGGATAGTCATTTTTATTTCTTAAAAATATAAGTAAGGATAGATATTCTCTTCACTATTAAAACATAATCAAAATAATCAATTTAAAATTTTACAACAACAAAGACAATGATAACTATATTAGCAATACCATAATACATGCACTTTAATAATGTAATGCAATATGTCATTCTCTTATTTCCACTTTGTCGTGTACTATGATCACAATCAATCATTACCTCTTGTGTTTTGTGATATCCTTAATTTTTTATACAAAATATACATATATATATATATATAATATTTTATATCAAGAAAGAAAATAAAGTAAACTTTCCCTTATATTTTATAGCTTGAGTGGTAAAAAAAAATTTACTTAAGTTTTTGTTGTTCAAATTTTAAGAGGTACTTAAAGTCATAATTTATTTTTTTTAAATAGTTCTCAAATTTTAAATTTATAAATTGAGTAAAGTTAAAATTTATATCTTAACAATTTATTTAATTCATAATATACACATATAAATTTAGAAAATAAACAATACTATTTTTCAACGGAGTAAGTTTCTATCTAAAATAAACGTAAGTTACCATTAAAATAACCAACTATCAATATTATAGATATACTTTAAATTACTGTTCATAATAGAATGTCAAAGTATTATAAATTATAAATTTGACAGAAAAAAATTACTTAATCTTGTCAACTCAAAATATAAAAATAATAAAATATTACAATTCCTCAAAATACTTTAAACACTAATAAAGCTGTCATTCCTTACAATCCCACTGAGAATGTTTTTTCTTCAGTTTTATAATATTCTTGTCTGAGCGAGAAACATTCTTACCAAGCAAAAATAGGTCAAGAGAGTTTCCAAATTTTCTTGCAAGTCTGCTTGAGCAAGCTCCATCTTGTCTTAGCGAGAGGATAGTTGGGGTAATATTGTCTTTTCTCACTTGAGCGAGACTCATTTTGTTTGAGTGAAAGTACTCCAAAATGCTTAACCCCAAAAATTTAATCTCACCTAAGTGGGACATATCTCGCTTGAACGCGAAACTCTGCACTAACATTCCTATTTTTCAAGATAAAAGCATAAAAAAATGAGGGTGTTACATGTTCAATGAGGTCTTACATATATAAATGAATAGTTGTCGGTTAACCCATACACGTGGATATAATAGTATACACTACGAGGCCCCTTAGCAAAAGTATAGTGAGGAGTTTAGTCAAAAAAATAATTGTAAGGCTTGTGTTGCTTTTGCTTTTATCAATTTATGTGCAAGCACGATAACAATCACCACCTTGTATTTTTTCCAAATTTTTTAAATTGTCTCTATCTTCCATATTTCTAGTGTATTTCTTTAACTATTCACACTAATTCTTTTTATCATCTTATTTGCTAATAATACATTTCTACCATTTATTTTTCATCATACATTTAAACAAATCATGCTAAAAGTCAAATATCTCTAGACTCAACCCAAATGATATATTGTCACTAAATCATATGTCATCCATTCAAGAAACAATAAACATATATAATTTAATTTATCAACTCAAAGAACCCAATTTCAGAACTCTAATTTAAAAAATAAAGCATGTAACTACTCATAGAAGCAAAAAGTATATCTGAAATTTATATACATCACATAGGTATAGTTTTATTGATGGGATAGAACTTCCCTTACCTCAATAGATGATTCACGTAAGGTTTTGGCAGAAGATGTCATCTAAAGGACAGAAATCTTCCTAAGCGTCACAAAGTAAAGTAACTATTGAGAAGAAAAAAAATGATGAAATATAAGTGAGATTAGAAGTATAATTTCTAAGAAAACTTACTGGAAATCGAGAGGAAAAAGATCTCCAAATTCGGATTCAAGAGTGATTTTAAGAGTAAAGGTGTTTTTCTAGCTGTGGAAGAGAGTAAGAGAATTGAAAGTAAGATGATAATGATTACTTGCCTTGAGATCTAAGTTTTAAAAGTGTCAAAATTACTTAAATGATTTTTTTTCCTCGAGAATTCTCACTTGAGCGACATCATTCTTTCTTGAACGACAGTTTTTCTTGCTTAAGTAAGACCATTCTCGCATGAGTGAAAAAATCATACAATTTTTTTTACTCATTTGTTAATGTTTTCGCTTGAGTAGGATACTTTCGCTTGAGGAAAAATGCTCCCAAAAGTTTCTTGTTTTGTCATCCAATCTCGCTTGAGTGAGAGTATAGTTGAACAATCTATATCCATTCTCGCTCAAACAAAAATTATCTTACCTGAATGAGAATGCTCCAGTGACATTCTGTCCAGATTAACCAATCTCGCTTAAGCGAGAAATTTCTTGCTTAAGCAAGAGATATTGCAGTTTTAAACTTAAAACTCTTTTATTTAAAATACAAAAAGCAATGGAAATTAAGGTATTATAATCTATATCCTTTAACACCTATGGCATATCCAAGAAATATACATTTCATTACCTTTGGCTCTAATTTTTTTATCACTAATATAAGGAAGACAACCAAATATAAGTAAGTTAGAGAA